AGATCTTCCAGAGCCTGATAGAGGATTGTGTCTCATGTTTCATGCTACATTTATTCCAAATTGAATCAAATCACATAACTGATGTGAATCCAGATATAGTGAGTGATGCTACATAATAATGCTACATCTGCAGGACCGATGGAGGACATAGCTGCGTGGGACCAGACACGTCGTACCGCTCCTGTAACATCCAGGTGAACTCAAACATCTTTGTGATTTATAAAGAAAAACTTGACAGAAAAATGTGCAAAACCTTAAGCTAACTCAGACTCTGGTGTTTTGGAGACGGGACCACTGGCAGCACAGCCGATGATGGTAATGTGGTGAATTTAAGCTACATTTACAGACTGGCAGACCATCACACACACACACACACACACACACACACACACACACACACACACACACACACACACACACACACACACACACACACACACACACACACACACCATCTCTGAGCAGAGATTAAAAATGAGAACCTGAATGAAAACACGTTGCTTTTAAGGTATCACACTAGGTTCATACGTCTTCATTACTTGATTACTAATTAATAGTGAAATGCCACTGATCCGCCGCATTATATAAATGCAGAATATTCACTGAGGTTTGTTTTTAATCCAAAAACACCTGAGTGAGATTTATAAAACAGGAAGTGGGTGCAGTTTTGTGTAAGCTGTGTTTTATGGCTCAGAAACTTAGTTTGTATAAGTAAATCATTTACATTAACACGCTTGACACTTTTCTGTGTATTAATTATTTCAGACCAATGACTTTTGCTCATGTTTCACCTCTTTGATGTGACACAGGATTGTCCAGAGGGATCCAAGGATTTCCGGGAAGAACAGTGCTCCCAGTTTGATGGGACGGACTTCCAGGGAAAACACTACAACTGGGTGCCATATTACAGAGGTCAGAAGTGAATGTTTTACACGTGATACATGTTCTCGTATGTGAGTCACGGGGGGTAAATTAAAATATTATTTAATTATGTAAATGTATAATCTGAAACTTCTTTGTGTTTCTGACAGCGGAGAACCCTTGTGAGCTGAACTGCATGCCGAGAGGTGAGAACTTTTACTACCGCCACCGCAGCGCTGTGGCTGATGGGACAGCATGTCACCCAGGACGGAGGGACATCTGCGTGGGCGGAGTCTGTCAGGTAGTGTCCTGCTGGGTGGAACACAGACACAGAAAAAATGTTTGTTTCTATATATTCTGCACGGTTTTAGACAAATACGCTGTAGGTTCGGTTTCATTTCTACAAAAAAACTAACAGCTGACATGTTCTGACTAATTAAATTATAGGAAACTATTATATGATAAATTGGCCTGCCATACAGGACTTTTATTTTCATAGTTTTATGAAAAACTTTCCACTTTTCTTTTTTTTTTCCTTCTCAGTGCTGGTGATAGGAGGATTTATCAGTTTAGGTAGTGATTTGGACTGCAAGGCGGTCTGCTACGTCACCTTTAGGTTTGTCCATCTTTAGACACACAGAAAGGTTCAGTTAGTACTCATAGTACTAGAGTACTAAATCTAAAGCCGCCTCCCACTGTTGTCTCCTCTTGCTTCTCCGAGGTCATCCTCCCAAAGCTGTGATGAAGCTAATATGGTGACCCAGTACCGATATTCGACCTCTTGCATGCCGGGGTTGAGAGAGAAGAGTCAACATGATCTGACAGAAAGGAGGCTACGTTCTTGTCATAAGTGTCATACTTGGTGATATCTGTAAAAATGAGATTTAGGCAGATCGAACTTCTCAGAGGACAACTGGGTTGGAAGATGATTCATTTAGTTTATTTTTTCTTTTTAACGTGTGATTTTTGGTTGGCACAGTCTAATCGCTGGGTTTGGGAGTAAACACAGTAATTCAGCTGCTTTACCAGCCTGAAACTGGACAGAAGTCACTCAGTTACAGCATAGATCCGAGCGTTTCAGTCAAACAGATCTTTGTCAGCCCCACGAGTCTCCCAGCACCACTGGGACTCTTACTGGCAGCTTCACTGGAAACAAAATATCAAATTTTAAAAATGTTGTTTGTCACAAAAACATCAAATGAAACCTCAGCAATCTAATATACGTCCATTTTACTGGTAGGTAGGTAGGTAGGTAGGTAGGTAGGTAGCCATCCATCTGTCAGATCTTACCTGATGAGGGTAAAGGGTCGTGTGATGACCTTTTGTGGGGTTTATATTTTCCTCTGACAGCGTCTGGGCTGTGACAACATGCTGGAGTCTCCCCAGCAGGAGGACCCCTGCCTGCAGTGTGGGGGGAACGGCCAGTCCTGTCACCAGGTGAAGAACAGCTTCACCGTTCGCGACCTGCCGACTGGTACCAGCTTCATTTCTCCTTCATTTACTCTGAACAAATGTGCATTTGTGAACCTGTGACCCACTGTTTGTGAGTCAGCCTCCTGACCAGCTGACATGTGATAAAAGCAGAATGTTACTGTGTCATCAGTCAGATTCTTAATGTGTCCATTTTCCTGCCAGGCTACAACCAGATGTTTGTCATCCCCGTTGGAGCTACCAGCATCAGCATCAGAGAGGCCGTGGCCACGCGGAACTACATCGGTGAGTTTCGCTCGCACCAGTAACCTGTTACGCATCCCGCTGTAGTGACGTCTCCCATCATCCATGATCAGCTATGAAGAACCTGCATGGAGATTACTACCTGAATGGTAACTGGATGATTGAGTTTTCCAGAGCCACGCCCATCGGTGGCACCCTGCTCTACTACCAGCGAGGAGCTGAGGGCGACAGCGTGCCTGAAACCATCATCGGCCGCGGCCCCACTACCGAACCACTTGTTGTTGAGGTAACCTAAAACTTTATTTCTTCTCTGATGACCCACATGACCCGACTCACACCATCTTACCAACGGAAGCCGTGAAGCCTCAGGCGGGGAACCTCTTCATCCTTTTATTCACGTCAGCTGCTTTTATTTTACACATTTAGATTTCAGCATTTGGGGTGGATTTTAGCTCAACCACTGGGAGGAACTGTGGTAGGGTGACCATACGTCCTCTTTTCCCCGCACATGTCCACTTTTCCCTCTCTGTCCGGGGCGTCCGGACTGGGGGTTCTTGTATAGATGAAAATGTCCGGTTTTTCATCCAGGAGCAGGGATCGAATTATGGGGGAGCTGGATATCCTCCAGGGAGAGCCGGAAAAAAGTTTTCTATCTATATTACATCATTTATATGGACTCTCAGCGTACCGGGGGTTCTTTTGAGCGGAGGGCAGAGAGAGAGGCACAGCACTGATTGTCTGTGCGCTCCAGGCAGCTGCTTCCAGCGCACGGTCCATTCTCAAAGCGGCGCAACCAAAAAAACTATAATTAACACACAATCGTTCATGTCCACACAAGTTCTCTACTTTCTGTCTTATTTGTGCCTGAAGCGCTCTGCTACTGCGGAGCTCATCACCGGTGCTGCGGTGATTTCACCTCACTGACGCAGCATTTGCGGTCAGGAGATCCCTTTGATCTGCTCAGAAGTAACTGATGAGGTGAAAAAGTAAGAATCCAGGCAGCAGTTTTCCTGGAGAGTTTAGAGGAGATGCAGGAAGATCAGAGTCAGACAGGACAGGAAAATAAAAACAAAAAGACAAAGTTTTTGTAGATTAATCTCCACTAAATGTTTTTACCTGTATAAAACAATAAGTTATACACATGTAATATTTATACATCTGATACAATTCAGATCACCTTCAAAACTCTGTCACACACCCAGGGCCGTTTCAAGGAATTCTGGGGGCCAAGGCCAAACAGAACACCTCCCACCCCAATAACTGGGCTCCCCAGAAGCCTCTGTGTAATCCATACCCTCTCCAGGAGTGTTAGTTATATGGTGTTTATAAAAGCCCCTCAGACATTACTGACATGTTCTAATATTATCAGATGAAAAACTAAATTATCAGACATGCTGTCTCATCTGCTGCTTTTCTAACTTACAAAAAGTAACAAAACCATTTGAAAGCCACTATTTGTGGATTCTCTGAAAGTTTCCATGGAGTGTGTGACACTTTTTTTTCATTGATCCTATCGTCTAATCTCACAGTTGAAACAAGCGTCCTTAATAATCTGTGCACAGGAAGCGTACCGGTGCTGTAGTAAAACTAAAGGTATAATAATTTATTATTAATATAATGTTGTTGCAGCACTAAAGCAGCAGAAAAATGAGATTTTGCAATAAATATGCAAAATATTTACATATGAATTGTTTTAGAGCCTTTTTGTTGGCAGAGTCTGATATTAATTTTAGCTCTTCACCTGAAGCAAATGGTCCTAACGTGGTTTGTGTGGCGTTGCCATGGTGTGACATCATGGGCACAGATCCCCTGTCCTCTTTTTTGGAAATGGAAATATGGTCACCCTAAACTGTAGAGGTCATTCATTTACACGTAAAACTTCTGATCTTTCCACAGATCTCATGAGCTTGGTCTACTCAGGTTTAGTAGAACACGTCTCGCTGGATTTCGAGAGCAGCTGAATGTTTTTGCATAACAACATTTTTATATGTGACGTTGATCGGATTTCAACAAGTTTCTGTAACTTTTTATTTTTGATTGAATTGTAAACATTTTTTAATAAGATCTGAAGCTAAAAGCGAAAGCTGTTTTATCTTAGGATCGATGATCCTTAGAGCTTACCTCAGTAGATCTCACCTTTCTTGTGATGCAGGCGGTTCATCAGAAACCAGTTAAATCCAACTCAGCAGTTCGATTCGTTCTTTATGTTCCAGCTGATCAGCCAGGAACCCAACCAAGGGGTGGAATATGAGTACTACCTCCCAAACGGGCAGTCCAGACAAGGCCACTACTGGAGCTACGGGGCATGGTCTGCTTGCAGTAAAGAGTGTGGCTCAGGTCAGACTGCAAACCCACGCGGGTTCTCCCTCAGCTCTTTGTTTTTATGAGTCAGGGAACAACTCAGGTCTCTGTCTTCGTCAGGCTTCCAGTCCCGGTTGGTCTTCTGCACCGTTGACACCGAGGTCTATCCAGACCACCTTTGTGCTTCTCTGCAGAGGCCGCAGTCAAACCGGACGTGCAACCCCCATCAGTGCCCACAGACCCACAGGTAACCAGTGTTTCCAGAGGGATTTCTGTTCCCTTCCTCAGTGAGCCGATGATCCAGACTGTTGATGGTGTGTGTAGTGACCAGCTGTAAGGATTACGTACCTGTTTCCACCACAGCAATTCGGCATCTTTCTGCCGTTAGTCTGGTTCTACAGTAAAGTCTAAATATTGTAGCTGTTTAATTTTGTTGTAAGAATCCTGACCTCTGACCTCTGCCGCTCAGCTGGAGGATCGGGGAGTGGAACGCCTGCTCAGTAACCTGTGGTGGCGGCTCTCAGGTGCGCGTTGTGCAGTGTGTGTCCCATGATGCCTTGGGGCCCCGTGTGGTGGAGGACGCCGTGTGTGCTGCCTACAGCGATGCTCCTCCTTCACTGCAGACGTGCAACATGCACAAATGTGCCGAGTACCGCGTGACCGGATGGAGCGCGGTGAGTAAACTTTGCTCCTGCAGGAAGGCAAGAGAAATAATGACATCTGATTTATCTTATTTAACGTTTTTATAAATGCGCATTCCGAGGAGGAACCAGAGCTGGGAGGCCTGGGGATGGACTGTCCGATCTCGGGGGCAGAAGTTGCTGAGGTAGTCAAACAACTACACAGCGGCGGAGCCCCGGGGGCGGATGAGGTTCGTCCTGGGTATCTCAAGGCTATGGATGTTGTAGGGCTGTCATGGTTGACACGTCTCTACAACATTGCGTGGTCATCGGGGGCAGTTCCTAGGGAGTGGCAGACCGGGGTGGTGGTCCCCATCTTTAAGAAGGGTGACCTGAGGGTGTGTTCCAACTATAGGGGGATCACACTCCTCAGCCTCCCTGGAAAGGTCTACTCCAAGGTACTGGAGAGGAGGGTCCGATCGATAGTTGAATCTCAGATAGAGGAGGAGCAATGTGGTTTTCGTCCTGGCCGTGGAACTGTGGACCAGCTCTATACCCTTGCAAGGGTGATGGAGGGGGCATGGGAGTTTGCCCAACCAATCCACATGTGCTTTGTGGATTTGGAGAAGGCTTATGACCGTGTCCCCAGGGGCACCCTGTGGGGGACGCTCCAGGAGTATGGGGTGGGTGGCTTTCTGTTAAGGGCCATTCAGTCCCTTTACCAGAGGAGCGTGAGTTTGGTCCGCATAGCCGGTAGTAAGTCGGACCTGTTCCCAGTGAGGGTTGGACTCCGCCAGGGCTGCCCTTTGTCACCAGTTCTGTTCATCACTTTTATGGACAGAATTTCTAGACGCAGCCGTGGTGTGGAGTGTGTCGAGTTTGGTGGCAGGAGAATCTCGTCTCTGCTTTTTGCGGATGATGTGGTCCTCCTAGCTTCATCCAGCTCTGACCTTCAGCTCTTGCTGGGTAGGTTCGCGGCCGAATGTGAAGCGGCTGGGATGAGGATCAGCACCTCCAAATCTGAGACCATGGTTCTCGACCGGAAAAGGGTGGCTTGGCACCTCCGGGTCGGGGGAGAGGTCCTACCTCAAGTGGAGGAGTTTACGTATCTCGGGGTCTTGTTCACGAGTGAGGGTAGGAGGGATCGGGAGATCGACAGGCGGATTGGTTCGGCGTCTGCAGTGATGCGGACGCTGAGCCGATCTGTCGTGGGGAAGAGGGAGCTGAGCCAGAAAGCCAGGCTCTCGATTTACCGGTCGATCTACGTCCCAATCCTCACCTATGGTCATGAGCTTTGGGTAATGACCGAAAGAACGAGATCGCGGATACAAGCGGCCGAAATGAGTTTCCTCCGTAGGGTGGCCGGGTTCAGCCTTAGAGATAGGGTGAGGAGCTCGGACATTCGGGAGGGACTCGGAGTAGAACCGCTGCTCCTCCGGATCGAAAGGAGCCAGTTGAGGTGGTTTGGGCATCTGGTCAGGATGCCTCCTGGACGCCTCCCCGGGGAGGTGTTTCGGGCATGTCCTGCCGGCAGAAGGCCCCCGGGTCGACCCAGGACACGTTGGAGAGGTTACATCTCCAATCTGGTCCGGGAACGCCTTGGGGTCCTGCCGGAGGAGCTGGTGGACAAGGCCGGGGAGAGGACGGCCTGGAGCTCCCTAATTGGGATGCTGCCCCCGCGACCCGGACCCGGATAAGCGGAGGAAGACGAAGACGAAGACGAAGACGTTTTTATAATTCTGGTTTAGGGTTTATTTAATGCTCCTGATCAGGAACAAATGAGTCTTTAGTTCTAATTTGTCTTTATTTTCTTTGTGTTTTCACCCATTTTTACAAAACAAATAACAGTTCAGGAAATATTTGGTTCCTCATAGTTTTTGCGCTGCTTTGGCCTGAATGTCCTTGATGTGGAGCTGAAGGTGTGTATTTATCACGTGTGCTTGCAGTGTTCAGTGACCTGTGGTTCTGGAGAGCAGACCAGGAAGGTGACCTGTGTTGGGTCAGGTGGGACGACGCTGCAGGAAGCTTCCTGCAGGACTCTGCTGCGTCCGCCCACCCGGCAGCCGTGTGAGATGTCCGCCTGTCCCAAACACGTCAGCTGGCATGTGGGAGCGTGGGGACTGGTGAGTTCTCACTTTTCTGTCGTGTTGTGATCTGTTAGCCTGGTGAACTAGACCAAATTCTTGCTTTCTTCTTCTGTTTTCTGCAGTGCTCTAAGAGCTGTGGTTCTGGCTCCAGAGAGCGTCAGGTGATCTGTTCAGACCAGAAGAGGATCCTGTCCCCTGTGGACCAGTGTAACACACACCATAAACCCGCTACTATGGAGCGCTGCAACACCCAGCGCTGCTCCAGTCCACAGGGTGAGCGCGCCCCCCCATCTGAAACTGTTTACGATCAAATCTGTTGTTTATCTTTAGGATTTGGGTGATTTTTTTTCTCATGTTAACATAATTTTTTGGTTTGTTAAATATTTTTTGAATGAAAACCACGTTTATGTTCACATTCTGAACTTTTTCATTCACCGTCTCATTTTTCTTGAGTTAGTCTCTCATTTGTTTGGTTTAAACAGACCAATCCTGATCTGGGTTGTCAACCAAAACATCCATGAGACTTTTTTTCTGTCTTTGTGTGGTTTTGTCCCAGCTGTCCCCAGCATCCAGGACCCACGGGGACATGACAGCTCCCAGACTAGCTTCCAGCCCCATGTCCCGGACCAGACCCCAGGTTAGACTCTTTTTCTAATGTCAGGAAGAGAGGCTGTTTCTGCGGCTGTTAGTCGTTCAGGGAAGTAAAGTTACGTAAATCAGAAATACATAAAACCAGTCCAAAGATTTCACACATCTGTCATGTAAGTAAACGTTAAGTAAACTGTTATGGTTCAGAAGTAGTGAATGCTAACTGTGGATGTGACGTGGCTGCACTTCACCCGCCTGTCCCAGCGCTAATGACCCAGCTCTGGGCTGATGGGCATCAGTGGTCTGATTGAAATATTCCTGAAGCACTGAAGCGTTGTGGAGCTAAAGGTCTTTTCTGTGCTGAGTTCTCATCAGGCATTGTTTCTGACCTCGCTTTACTCCCACAAAGACCTCTCCTGGTTCTCTGAAACCACAATAAAGGACCTTCATCTCTGCTTGTTAATGCTTCAGGTGCCATTTGTAAAGTAAACATGAAAAGTGTAATCACTGTAAGTCAGCGGGTTTAGCTGAAATGTCATAAGCAACAAATAATAATAATTAACCATTTAATGAAATAAAAGTAAATTATTCATAGTAAATCATTAATACCTCCCGCCCTGACACACTTCACACACTAAAATGTCACAACTGCAATTTCCTTTATTTTAACAAAAAGAAGTGAATACATAAAAATTAAAATTAACTGCTACCCCCCCCCCCCCCCACACACACACACACACACACACACACACTCACTCACACACACACACTTACTGACTGTTTTGTGCTGCTAAATGTGGCATGATGATTTTTTTTTAATATTTCATCGTCAGGCCAGAACCTCTATAGCCAGAAGAACTTTTTTGATACTTTTTACTGGATTATCGACCATAAAACCACTAACAGATGTGAAAACTGGCCCATCCAAAATAAAGAAAGACAAAGATAAAAAGATTTTGCCCACCCGTGTCGCCTTAACTTTTCTAAACCACAGATTATGCCTCCATGTGGTTTTTGTCTCAGCCCCCAGGCCACAGACCAGAGGTCCCACCCAGACAGGCACCGTCTTCGACCCTCACCGCTCTGCCCCAGCTCTCCACTGCAGCCAGACCCATTTTGGCTGCTGCTCAGATGGGCGCACTCCCGCCAAGGGGCCCCGAGGTCTGGGCTGTCCACAAGCTCTACCATCCTGCATCCAGACCAGGTATTACTCTCCAGGCTCTCTTTCTGCTGGATTCTATGTGACGATACACAAAGAACCAGTTCAGGTCCTCATCTGGGCGTCACTCGCATGTGACCACACTGACCACATATTGTGCTCCACCAGAATAGATCTCTCTGACCATAATGAGCCTGACAGTTGTAAAATGTCTGAGTAGCACATGTTTGTTATTTTGGTTCAAACTGTGAGTGCAGCTGGTTAGAATGTTTTGTTCTGCTCCTCGTGTCAGCTATGGGTGCTGCCAAGATGGTGTGACGGCCGCTCGGGGCCCCAATAAGGAGGGCTGCAGCGAGTATGTGGCCCCCCCACCCACGGTAAGAAACATTGCTACAGAACTTTTCATTAAGATAATTCTGACATGAAGGGAAACAATTATGAGTGTCTCTTCAGGTTGCTCCTCTTCCTACTGAGAACGCCGTGGAGTGTCGCACCACCACCTACGGGTGTTGCTACGACCGAACCACACCTGCAGGAGGACCCAATGGGGAGGGATGCCCCAACCCACCAAACCACAGTAAGAGGCCTGAACAGCTCCCTTCAATAAAATGTTCTAGTCTAGTGTGGTAATTATGTAGTTATTATCCAGATGTTACAACACAGAAATCTAATTATAAAGAACATAAATTCACTTTTCCAGATAAAATGTCCTCAGTTATCCTGGAAATGTTCTTACAGAAACATTAGAGACTCAATGAGACCTTTACAGCTATTTGAATTCATGTAAATTATTATTAATAATATGATTATTTTTATTAATATTATTATTATTATTATTATTACTTTTATTGTTATTATTATTATTTAATAATAATAACAATAATAACCATTTTAATATTATTATTATTGTTATTATTATTATTATTATTATTACTTTAATTGTTGTTATTATTATTGTTATTAATAATATTATTATTGTTATTATCATTATTATTGTTGTTGTTGTTATTAAGCAAACTCATCTCCGTCCCTCTAGTTGAGCGCTCTATCTGCTCCCTGCCCCGGGCTGCCGGCTCCTGCAGCAGCTGGGTATCACGCTACCACTTCAATGTCATCTCCTCCAAGTGTGCCCACTTCTGGTATGGAGGTTGCCACGGCAACAGCAACAACTTCTTAACCATGGCGGAGTGCCAGAGGGCATGTCAGGTGCCGGCTCCCAGCCAGCAGCATACAAGGTCTTTCGGCCCTGCCGGAAAGTCTGCCTCCGCCAGGGAAACCTCTCCTGGAAGGACCTCCTCAAAGGGAGCAGCACCTCCCTCTGGAGGCGGTGGGCAGTCACACAGCATGGGGGGCACTGTGAAGGGTGGCTCACATGGCAGCTCTGGCAGACAGGCCTCAAGCGCCGCCACACATGCTCACAGTGGTCGGCTGTATCTCCGTGCACGCCGACCTGCTGCTGCCACAGCGGCCCAGCAGATCGGCCCAGCTGCAAGGTAAGAACCAGGACACCCGAGGGAGCCCCAGACCCACCTCTATCTCTGGATTCATAAAGCTGTTTCCAGTCTTATCGCCGCTGAAGGAGCTGCGGATCACTCGGCTCACTTCAGACGAAAAGTGAATCAAAGGAGATTCAAATTCCATCAAACAGCAAATCCTGGAAATCTGCTCAGGAATTAGTGGAATTTTCACTGTTCCACCACACAAACACGCACATGCAGCGTGCGGCTTTACAAGATTATTTTTACTATTTTTGGAATTAAGCAAAAACACCAATGCAAACACATAACTACTTTATATTTTGTTAGTTACTTTCTTCTAAACTTCAGAATAACCGTTGAAGCATCTGTGAATATAAAACAAAGGGTCTGAATCTAAAATGTCCGTTTTTAAACTTTCAGACAAATTCTTGTCATGAAGATCTATGTGTCTTTTTTATTTCTTATTCTGATTTAACACAATTTGTTGGGTGTGTTCATCTCCACGTTCAACACCAGGAACAAACACAGACACTCTCTTTATTCTGTTTCTTTAACCTAAATAAACCTGGGAGACGGCCTGATGGTGACCCTGAATGGACGCTGAAACTTTGTGGACTCTTTGCTGTGCGTCTGAGTTCATGTTGGAGCTAATCTGTGTCTGCTAACTGCTAACTGTGTGGGCTCTGTGTTTCCATAAAGTTGTCATCACATCAAGTTAATAAAGCTTCTGTTGTGATCATGTAATCAGATGTTTGTCGTCACTAAACTCTTCTTTAGATGTTGTTGAGCCTGTGCTGGAACCACTTGTGTGTTTGGGTCTTTTGGGTCTTCCTCTAGTTTTGTTACGTGTGTCTGGGATTGTGTCCTCACGGGTGAAATTGTGTTGTCTGTCTTGTCTTTTTCATGCTGCGTGATATTTTCTTCTTTTCTTCTGAGCTTTTCCAGACTCGGGTTCTGGGCTTTATGCTTGCTTGGTGGACCAACGGTAAAGCATAAAGTGACTTTTTTTTAGCTCCTTAACCTTCCTGTTATTTTCCTTCCGTCTTTGTCTATCCTTGTGTTTCCTCAGTCTGACCCTGGGGGGCGTGAGCATCGATAAGAGCGACCCCAACTCGGTGGAAGCTTTAGCAGGTCAGACCATCGTGCTGCCCTGCAGAGTCAGTCCTCCACCTTCGTCCACCATCGCTGTGGAGTGGAGAAGAGATGGTGTCCCTCTGTCGACACACAGGTCCCACACACACTATACTGACTTTTACGTAACTTTGCTCTTTTAAAGATGTTTCCTTGGTTTTATACTTCAGTTATATTTTTCAGGCATCACCAGCAGCCCAACGGTTCCCTGTTGGTCGGTCCTGTTATGAAGTCAGACTCTGGTTGGTTCCTGTGCATGGCCACTCGACAACGAGAGAGAGATCACCGCTACATCTACCTGTCTGTCTCAGGTACTGTTTATAGTATTTCATTTTATTTGTTTTAATCTTGCTTCTGCCCATTCTGCTCTCACTGGTCAGCTCTAACGGCCTACACATCAGGTGGCTGAAGCCAAGGGCATGAGCTTGGTTTTAACACAGGTGAGGATGATATACATAAGCTTGAGGACAGGTGGGGACGATTATTTAAAATTATTTATATATAAGTATTTGTTTGTTTGGCATTTAATTACAACATGCACTGCAGTGCATTGATAGGTGTTCAAAACTGGAGCTTTACTCATTAAATAAAAGTTAAAAGTTGGGAACAATCCCACAAATCAGAAGACGAGTGGATCTCTGGACCAAGGAAGCACTTACAAGCATTCTCAGAAAACTCTGGTTAACTCCATTTTCCCATATTCCCAGGTCTCTTTCCATGATCGTTAATGAAAATAAAAAAGTAGTTGTCGTTTCACAGTTGGACCGTCTGAGAGAACAAATGGAACATATATCGTACAAAACTGAGCAGCCCGAAGAGTTCAGCTGACAACAAGTGATCACTTTTATCGTGTTTTCTAATAACCTGAAGTTTAGGTTAGCTAAACAACTCCCTAGTGTTTACCATTCAGCATGCTGATGACTGGTTGGATGGAACAGATTTCCCAGCATGCCACGCTCTTTCAGAAATGTTGAAAATTAAACTGAATTCAGAGTTTGAATTACGAGAGAGAAAAGGATGGCTCCCACAAAAGGGTGATGGGCTCCCTAGAAGCTGCCCCAACCAGGGGGAGCCATCGTTTATACCAGTGCTAATAATGGGGCTGATGTTGGGTACTGCAACGTTGGTACTTGGCCAATAATTGGAACTGAGACCAGTATTGAAATGACAGTTATCTATAATTGTGTATTACGAACGCTACTTCACAACATGGCGCATTAGCTTAGTTCAACAGCGTTTAACTACGTGGTAACAGATTGAACCAGAACTGTAATTTAAGGGACTTTGAGAGAGAATTCGTTTGTCAGGATTTTTGAGAAAGATTAACACGAAGCTCTGTTGTGTATCTTTTGTGTTAGAGGGACCGTCTGAGCTTGCTCCAACTTCACTGCCGAAACATGTCCAGTCCCCGAAGTAAGCAAAGAATCATTGTGCATCAGTGCTAGCTGAAACTGCTCATGTGCATGATAATAAAACCAGTTCACTTTAGTAGAACTAGTATTCTTTAGTATAACTAGTGTTCTTTAATAAAACAAGTGTACTGTTGCAGTACCACCGTATGAGGAGTGTACTTTAATAAACCAGTGTAGGATAGGAGAACCAGTGCACTGAAGTAGAATAATTGTGCATTATTTGAACCAGTTTTCTTTAGTAAAACCAGTATACATTAGTAGACCCATTACTCATTAGTAGAATCAGTTACCAGTACTAGAGCATGTGTGCATTTATAGAACCAGTGCATTCAATAAGAACCATCACCCTTTAAATTCAGTTCAATTGTTCAGATTCAGCATTGAGCACTCAAGCTCCTCATCGGTGGAGATGAGAACAGGACAAACTGCTAGACTTCCATGCGCCATCATTCCTCCTTCAGCCTTGGACTCTGTCAGCATTCAGTGGACCAAAGATGGACGTACACTCAGTGATTCCAGGTGGGAGTTTTCTAACTCTAATTATTTATCGGCTATATATATTTTGTCAAAGGTTTTGGAATGTGTCACCAAATTAATACATTCCCAATAAAATCCTGGAGGAATGAGTTTGTTGAGGATGAACTTAATCAGCCTGGAGAATACAACCTGAACCCGACAGATCATGTTTTACAGCAGAGACACTGTGAGCCAGAAATTCTTGTCCTACTTCAGTTCCTGACCGACTTCTAAAAGAATGACCAAAATACTTTGGTTCATTTTATATTAAACCCTAAAGAACAGGAATGGGAGGTCATTAAAGTTCATGTGTCTATAAAGGTGGCCATTCAATAACCTTTGGTAATAGGCTTTTTCTTGTTGTATCTCAGTAGGGTATATATATATATATATATATATATATATATATATATATATATATATATATATATATATATATATATATATATATATATATATATATATATATATATATATATATATTTATATACTTTAATGTTAATGTTTAATGTTACAAGTGTATGTGTGCATTAAACTATATTACTATAATGCATGCACACAGCTGTTTTATTAATAAATATAATAAATTATATTCATAAATAAACCAAATTTAAAATAGTTTCTTGACACTAAACAACTATAATAACTAGCAGGGGAGAGGTTCAGCTTGTAGCTAGGTGTATTTACTCAGCTGGCTTTAGAGTATTTGAGAAACCCAAAGATAATTCAGTTCTGTGGATTAAAGAAGCCTTTCCTAGTGTGATTACCAAAACTATTTATTCCAGAACAAATTTATTTCTGATTTTATTTAGGTTTGGGTAAAGCTAAAGCAACTTGATTTTCATGTTTTGATCAGAAACTTTCCTTGGAGACAGTTTAGCAGGAATTGTGAATGTTGTAATCCTGATGTTGGACGATGGAGTTTGTGACCTGAGTCCATGCTGTGCTGTAGATCAATCCAGCATTCTGACGGCACTCTGACCATCGGCCCTCTGAAATCAGACGACTCAGGTGTCTACACATGCACTGCTGCTAGTCTGCACCAGCTGGAACAGAGGCAGCTGCAGCTCAGAGTGCAAGGTTACCATCATATCTTCTAACATCCTTCAGTGGTTGTGGTTAAATGCTCTGAGTCTAACAGTTACACGAGTCACTCCCAAAAACAAGATAATCATTACATTTTAAATAAAATATGTTTATTTTTTTAGCAGACCTGCAGATCACCACAGCTCCCAACAACATTCGGGTACCTGAAGGCAGCACGGCTCTGCTTCCCTGTGTAGTATCTGGAGACAACGTCAGCGTAGGCTGGTCTAGGTACAAACTCACCTGTCACACCTGAAGCACTCATTTCTGCTGTCCCACAAACTAAACATTAGTTTTACGTCGAAGTATATTTTTCATTCTGGCAAGGACCTTTCCTCTGTCCCGACCACGTTTACCACCTCTGCCATTTTCTCCCAGGCAGCATTCTTTCTTTAACTAGTTACCATGGAACTGAGAGAACCACTCCCTCCATCTCACTCTCACCGAAGTTAGTCCTTCTTTTTTCGGGAAGATCACAGGGACTCCCCTCCAAATGTGGTTAATCGAGAGTGTTTCTGTATGTAAATGACTTGGAACACACACAAGCACCTGGGTACGCACAGGTGGGACTTATCAACAATCGATTGCAGAGGAACATGCGTACGAGTGGCCGCCACATTCCAATAATCATGATTTTGGTCGTTCGTACTGACATTCTAAAATTCATCCGTATTAAGGAACATAGGTCAGTTTCTATGAACATTTGATGAATCTGTGCCCAAGTCTGGAAAAAGTTCCTGCCTCAAGTGATGGAGTTCAAGTATTTCTGGGTCTTGTTGACGATTGAGAGGGTGAGAGCTGGAGTTCAACATGCAGACCGGGGCAGGATCTGCAGTGATCCAGACAGAACTGGTTTGTTGTTTGCATTCCTGGACTCGCCCCTCTGGGCTTACGACCGAGAAAAGGCTGTGTTGATTTTGCGGCCTGGAGAGAGCAGAGTGCATTCTGGCTAGTATAAGGTATCCATTAGCAAATACATCTCCACAGCTTGGAAGAAGACAGTCAGGAATGTGTTATTAGTGGAGATAATTCATCAACGTTGCAATTTTTTGCCCAAGAAAGAAGAGCGAATGAAGGCAGTGGAAGAGTTGCATTGCTGTTAGCCAATCAGAGACAAACATTTCCATATCATGAAAGACCAGAATTCCTGCTGAAGAGATCTCCCATAAGGTCTCGGAGTTCCTCGGATGGCCAGATTGTGAGAGTCTGTTTGAGCGTTAGTCATTAACCGCGTTCAGGAAGAACTCAGAAAGGATCAGAGATAAAGGACCCATCCTGACTGACTTTCTTTCTGACAACAGAAATGGTGTTCCTGTGCGTCCAGATGGGCGTGACATCCTGCTGTCGTCTGATGGTGGTCTGATCCTAAACAAGGTGAAAGCCTCCGATGAGGGATCCTACACCTGTAACGCATACACGGGGATCTACTCTGTCAGCGCCACAGCTGAAGTCAGAGTCATTAAAGACTCACTACAGGGTGAGAACACAATCTAACATAAACCAAGTCACGCTTAATGGACCTGATATCTGTTCAAATCAGGGAAGGTAGATGGATTTTAATAATCGCAGCCTGTTAAACCCACCAGAAATATTTTAAATTGCTCATAATCCAATATTTTTGCAGAATATATGTTGAGCCATCCTTCAGTTGTCCATATTTTCACACATTCACAAATGTTAATGTACCAAATGTCGAAGTGCTTAGTTCTCCAGTGGTCATCTGGATTATTTGCTATTTCAATTGCTTCTTCAACAGCATCTTATAGTCTTCCCAAAGTTCCTGTTTCTGACGGTAGGTATTTGAGTCCCAGGTTTACTATTCCTTTAGTATTCTTTTCTCGGCTGTTAAAGGTCATTCGTTGACTTGTTCCTTGTGCTGGTTTGATGTAACTCTGGTTGCTCCATGTAGAGTTCCCTTTTGAGTGTCTGTTTAGAAATGCGGTTATAACATTTATTTGATGTACATTCAGGTTTTTCTGCACAGCAAAGGATAACGGCGTACGAATGAAGCTGAATCGTACTACTGGAGAAAATGTTTACATACATAGTGAGCATGGTAAATCTATGAGCAGCCTTCAGCAAGGAGTCTGCACTTGAATCTTTCCACTCATCCATCACTGACTCTGAACACTGGTTTTGAACTGATTGCTTTGCGATTCTTAGGTAAATCCATTAAGTCACGAGTCATTTTACAGCAATGACTTGTATACCAGATAACTGCATCGTTTCATTCCTTTGTGTTTGGACTTGACAGAGCTTCTTTAGTGTGTTTGCTCTGCCACACACCAGATGTTGGTGTAATGCTCAACTTCTATTATGTCAGCAAATTCATCATGTCCATTCTTTTTGACAGTTTTCTGATCCTGTGACTCCTCTGAAGCCGAACTGGCGGTAGTCATGCGTCACTAAAAGCAGACAGCTAACCAAAACAACAATGCTGAAAATGCCTGGGTGTGTTTTCATTGGTTGATTACCAATGAGAGTTGCAGGTTTTAAAGCAGTGCTTGAAGACTTTTGGAGGCTGGCTTTGGTCCCACGAGAGTTCTCAAAATGCTGTCGCAGAGCCGGTCACACTGGACAGCTGCAGACTAGCCAATGGCCCTCGCGTTTTCATTATGTCTTCATTATGGAAGCTGCAGAGCGACATCATGTTATAACATCATCACTTTATTGTTCCAACAATATAACTTTCACTTTTGTACAATTTAATATCCCGGTCTCACAAAATAACATTCCATAGTATGACGGTGATATTTAAATTGTACAAACGTGAACATTTTATGGTTAGAACAATAAAGTTAAAGATGTGAAGCTGATTATAATTGGTTACTGTGAGTTTATACGCAGGCTGAACATGAATAGTCTCCTACACCTATCTCCTGCATTAGCTTCTGATAGAAAATAAATGGTGAAACGCTAGGATCAGAAAAGCCCGACAGATCTACGTCACACTGTGGTGAAGACAACATCCTGACTGGTAAAAGCTAACCGTTAGCATTAGCACCACCACACAAAAGCACCTCCAGCCTTGTGATTTTTATGAGAAAACATCCAAGTCAGTGGTAGAGTCACGCTGCTGTCATCCAATCCCAGGCAAGATGTCCAAATATCAGCAAATAAGACTCCAAATTAGGGTTGTCACGGTATGAAAATTTAACCTCACGGTTATTGTGACCAAAATTATCACGGTTTTCGGTATTATCGCGGTATTTTTTAAACGGTGTTGCATATGTTCAGAAAGCATTGATAGTCCTGTTCTACACAAACAGAAATAGTTTTGAAAAGGTTTAACAGTGTTTATTAAACCTAAAATAACACAAGCCTTAGCAAAAGTGCAACTTTTCACAAGTAAAGGAACAAATAGCTTCTTTTTCTGGAACATGTTACAGTAGTCAGTGCAGGTTTAAATGATACAAATCCAAACATTCAAAACATAAACAATATGTAAACAAATCAAAGAAACACCACTTGTTTTCTCATATACTTGTTTTCTTCATTATCAAAATGAAAATCTAAAACTCCAGTCCACACTTGACTTGAGCACTGTACAAGTCAACCTTAAAAAATATGTATTTAAAATAAATAGCCACTTTAAACAAATTACTAAAATAACTACTACACTATGTAATCAAATCCAAATGTTCAAGTATAAATGGCATTGAATAAGTAAACAAATCAATGACAAGGAACTAATTGTATATTTCTCTTCATCATCAACAAATAAGATGCTTCATCCAGCAACAGGGTGTCCGTGACACGGTTTAAATGCTGGCAGAGGACGCTGCGGCTGCAGTATATAGTGACTCGTTGCATTCTCCCTCAACCAAAAGTCCTCGCGTCATGCATTTAAGCTAAAATGCTAATGTCAACTTACCTTGCACTGGCTGTAGAGACGTGGGTGATGGTCACGCAGATGTGCCATTAGATTCGAAGTGTTGCTGCCTTTTGCAGACACTTGTTTCCTGCACGTTCTGCAAACGGGATAGCAGTCTTCTATTAACTGTCCCTCAGCATTTTTCAGAAATCCAAAATATGCCCATACTTCCGAGTTAGTCTTCTTTGAGGGCTGATGGATGTCCTGGGCGCTGCCGTCTCCTCCTTCGGCCGTTATTTCAGCTTCAAAGTTTTGGTTGCAAACTAAAAAGTGCGTGTGCGCGCCGCGGGAACTTCAGCTGAAGCGACAGTGGCTGGTAAGGGTCACCTCGCTGAAACCGCGGCCACGGTAAACCCACCGAGATAATTTAGTTTTTTAAAAACTGGACGGTTATTTTTATTGTCAACTTTTTTACCGGGGTTTACCGCTATACCGGTTACCGTGACAACCCTACTCCAAATCCTGTCGTGTTGTGCCACCTCTCTTACCACAGCAGACTTGTCTCTGCTGATCCACGCACTTGTGGGCTTTTTTTGCCCTGAGTGTGGCTTGCAAGGCATTCCTTTCTACCAGAGACCACTGTAAATGTATTGATTTAATGGGTTTCCCCACACTTTTAAGATGTTATAACATAATATCCTTCATCCATATTTTCTTGTTCTTCAGCAGCATCAATTTCACTGTTGGCTCTGATCAGTTAGCATGTTTTTTAATAGCAGTCAGTTGGAGATTGGGTTGTGAGCACCGTTGACCAGGATTTCTTATTTCTTATCTTGTTTTAGTTGATAGTGGCTTTCTAAAATCAGTTTCACAGTATAAGGACAAAATGATTATGTTTTTACCGGAGCCTGCAAAAATCCGTCCTCTCACACCGCCATTTTGGATTCACCCCTGGAAAGAACACAGACAGATTAGAGGAAAACCAGTGAAGTTCCTGATAGGCCTACCCAGGGTCTCAGCCTTTCGAGTAGCAGGTGATGGTCCACAGTATCAGCTCCAGTAATGCGTTTACACAAAAAAATGTAACACGACTGTTTCAACAACATACAGAGAGGCTTCAGCTGTTTCTGTGTTCTGATGCTTGTATGTTTGGGCTTGTTGCTGAGAATGCCTTCCTCCCAGCTACCAGACTCAGTGACGGCAGAAGGTCCTTTTGAAGGTTGTATTGGTTGAAATGACAAAAATACTGTTCTGTTCCATTAACTGACATAAAACAGCTTGTCTGTGCGAGTGAACCACTACTGGTGTGTGTTTGAACATTGTGCCCTCATGGTGGAAGTAGATTGGATGTTATTTGATGCCATGTAATACATTGTGTTGATGTGTTCCCTAGGTGAAGATGTTTCTCCAGACTGTGTGGACCAGAACGAGCTTGCTAACTGTAAGCTGATCGTTTACGCCCGTCTGTGCACCAACCAGTACTACTCCAGTTTCTGCTGTGCCAGCTGCACCAAGCACTCACAGAAGAGCAGCAGGTTTGGTCGGCAGGCATTTCCTAAACCTCTGCCTAAAGGACTCAGAACACTGACGGGGTAGTTCTGTTGAAAAAGGGATGGCTTAGGAGAGATGATTGGTCAGATGGGAGAACTTAAAACACAAGATGAACTTTGCTGAATGTCAAGGAGATGAAGACCAGTGACCTACCTACTGAAACATTGTTCTCTGTTTTCTAGAGAAACATCATGATTTACCTGCTTGCAGGGCCGTTTCAAGGCATTTAGGGCCCAAGGCAAAAGGACGAGGAGCCCCCCCCCCCCCCCCCCCCCCCCCGTCCGATTCATACATTTAAAGATTTAAAGGGGCAGCCCACTGAGCTTGCTCAGTTTGTTCTAGCATTTACTTCATAGAGAGATTGTCTGGGACCCTGGCCAGCTCGGGGCCCAAGGCCCAAGGTGTTTACCTGCCTTTTTTGCACTGAGCCTGCCTGGGGGAAAAAAAGGATGAACTTTTTGGCTGTTTTTCTGTCAGAGCTGCTTTTTTATGTTCCTGTGTGATAAACACGGCACATATTTAATTATGGACTAATGTCCTGATTTTTATTGCTTTTTAATAAAAGTCATTGATAATAAAAGGAACATTCTGACAAAACCTGCAGAGCCTGAGTTGTTATTACAAGGGGGTGGGTGTGCTCAACATAACAAAAAAAAAAAGATCTGTGTTTGTCAGCAGAAATTTTTTTTTCTTGGGGAATAATGTCATATTTTAATTGTATTGTTTTGTTTATTTGTATGACTTGAAAATAGTTTTAATTCTAACATTTAATTGGGAAAAGCTTGTTGTTTATGTACGTTTTTAAATATGAAATTTTATTTATGTGTTTCAGTCATTTTTAGTTGATGGACATGTTTTTTACCATTGACGTAGACTAAAGTTTAAAACAAAAGCTGTGAGCTTCAAATTATCATAATATTCTGAAGTTTTGACAGAAATTATGATTAAGTATTATACAAAAGAAGAGAATCAGCTTTACTTTGATCACATTTCAAACAAATGGATTTAAGTAAAATATATTAAAAATGTATCAGTCTAGCATGAAAATGAAGAAAGAGTGAGTTACATGGAACCAGAAATTTACTTTATGGTACAACACCTGTGAGTTCCTCCACCTCGTGTTCCCTCTGCCTCCTGAGCCCAGGTACAGGTGTGTTTGGATCAGCAATGTCTCACAAGACCTTAGAGCCACATCTAAAGGCTGCTATGGATCGGGAAGGTACCAGAGACCCACTCGGTCCGCTTTAGTAGAAAAATTACTATTATGATTATTCATTTAGATGGAGAAATGTCTGGTCAGCTGGGACATTCCTGGACCCTGTTGGAGAACCGTGAGAACAAACCCAGCAGCTCATCTTTTTGTTGCCATGAAGAGTTTTTAAATAATAATCATAGTTTTAATGTTTGCCTTTGTTTTAGCTTGGTGTTCGGACCCAAATACAACAGAACTAATCAGGTTAGGTTGTTCCTGTAGGTTAGAGCAGCACATCTGGTTCTGCTGGTGCTGTGTTCTTGCTGACTTTAACCCAGGAACTTGTTTTTCTGCACAGAGAGGGATTGGTGAATGTGAGGAAGAAGAGTGAAATGTTTCTGCTGCGGCAGGATGGCTGAACTGGTCTCTGGAGTGGAAGCTGCACATGATGCTGGATCAGGCTGATCCTCTGAGCAGCTTTGTGTTCACCATGTGAGCTGAGAATTAGCATGTTAGCTCCGCTCGGTATGCAGCTAATCCCACTGACGCTCAGCAGAGACCTGCTTCCTCTTCATCACATTTGGTTTGATGTAAAACACGAAAGACGTGTTCCTCAGAAGACAAATTATGGAACGAAACAAAACAGAATCCCACAGAGCACGTGTGTGTGTGTGTGTGTGTGTGTGTGTGTGTGTGTGTGTGTGTGTGTGTGTGTGTGTGTGTGTGTGTGTGTGTGTGTGTGTGTGTGAGTGACGGTTAATGCTTAAAAAGAAAACTGAAGGTATTGAACTGAATGAATAAGATGAGGAGGAGGAGGATGTATCCTTCATCTCAGCTTGCTGAATTGAAATCTTAAAATTTACTTTTTTAACAGAACGGTCTGTTTTGATATGTGGTTAGAAGCCAGGTGACAGGTCTCAGATTCCTCTGATCAGGAAACCTGATGAGCACATACCAGAACATTTTCTTTTATTCCTAAAAAATGGATTATTGACGACAACAATCCAGCTGATGAGCTACTCGTTCTAATTTTATTGTGTTAGCAGGGATGAAGGTGAGCTGAAGGTAGGACTTGAACCCAGATGTTTAAATCCCCCTAGATGTCTCTGGAGGAACGTGAAGCTGTCTGTTTCAAGAGTAATTGTATTTCTGAGCCTCAAACCCCCCCCCCCCCCCCCCCGCCTCAGAGTTGGAGGTTTTTCTGGCTGCTCATTGTGTTTAATCTGCTGATCTGCTAAGCCACACGACTGAGCATCATGATGAGGTCCGCTGCTCAGTTTTTGCTGATGATCTGGTGCTTCGAGAGTCCATGCTGGTCAGAGGTCTCTGTTCTGAATCATGACAGCACCAGTGAGGGGACAGACTTTTCTACAGAGCTCCACAACCTCTGGGATGAGCTGAGGGGCTTGAGGGAGCTGGTCTTAAACCTGAAAGCAGAGAAGGTGGGACAACGTGAAGCCCTGCAGAGTATGGAGAGCAGGCTGAAGGACAGAGAGATTGTGGCAGAGCAGCAACGACAAAACCTGGAGGAGCTGCAGGTATCAGCCAGCCAACAGATAGACCAGATAAGAGTGGTCCTGCTGACGGAGCTGAGCTACGGCCTGAAGGGGAGGCTGGAGGAACTGGAGGGGCAGAACAAAGGTCAGGTTTGTTGTTTTTCTCTTTGTGTCCTGTTTTTGTTTTTGTTTTGTACAGTGTAACCCGGGCAAAGACAGAGACAGAACCATAACTTTGGTTGCACTCAACAAAAGCAGAAGCCAAAGTGACAAACTGGACTACAAGCAATAGCCCTTTTACTTCACGGGGATATTTTAATCAGAGTTGATCTAGTCAGAGATGAAGTCAGAACAGTGCTTTAAGTGGAAAAAAATAAGTGCTGGTACTCCCCTCGGAAGAATATCGGGGTTGGGGGGGGGGGATTAAATAAAACATGCAGAAGATCAAAATAATGTTAAAATACACGTAAACTAACTAATAAAAACACTAAGCCAATGACTTTAGCTTACATGTAACTTGTTGAAACTACATGGAACATTTTTCAAGCTTAATATCAAGTTAAAATCTTCAGATCTTCAAACGTAATTTAAAAACTGTAACCAGACTGTGCCGTGCCAAATTAACTAATTGCACATACAATAACAACCATTGTCCAAGTCCTTTCAGAAAAGGCTCCAGCAGGCCTTGGGGTCCACTTTGTTAGCACTAGGGGCTTCACAGGATGTACATGTTGGACTCCTTCTCCCTGTTGCCAGCCACGACCTCACATAACTTTGTGCATTAAATTGATCCAATGGTGGTCCGTTGCATTTGAGTAAAATCAGATTTGAAAGCCTTTTGATGTGAAGTGAGATTCTTTTATCAGTGAGAGTGTCATTCATTGAACTGAAAGCTCGTTCACATTCACTTGTTGATACTGCAATGGTGTGGACAGCTTTAAGAAGAGGCTTCAGGGCTGCTGGTATCTTGGAAGCTTTTAGGTGTTTATACTCCCTAGTAGACACTTTCCCTTTCCTCAATTTTGAATCTCTCACAGAAACGTCTGACCTCCGCATCGCCGTACTGAGTATCTGGCGTTGCAGGCCAGGAGTCAGACTGGAGGACCTGGATATCTTTGAGCAGTAGACTGTCTAGCTTTACAGACGAGGTTCTGCTGACATGTGAGGAAGTTGTTGGAGTCACCCTGCACTCCACATTTACAGCCAGGCTACAGAAAAACTGCGGGATTGATTTTTGGAACCCTTTGATTTTCATGCAGTTTTACATTTCTGAAGATTTTCTTCTCTTCTGCTTCGATTGCCACTTGTGTTTGTGGGCCAGGTGTGGATACCATTGACTCAAAGACACGGATTTGCCGGGCTGTAACCTGTCGGCTTGGTCCAATGTCACGTCTCGTCTCTGGAGCATTCTTGAGAGGTCACTGAGTTCTGTGAGAGCATCATATGTGACACTAAAACCCTTTTCAGATTGACATTCTGGAATATGTGTGGACAATTCAGTCCGGTTTTTAACCAGAACTGTGTTTTCAGACACACCACTTTTGTACCTGAACTTGTCCTTTCGGCTGCGTTCACACAGCAGGGAAAAGTTCCAGATGTCTGAGGGGAGGGGGGGTGGGAAGGCTGTACCCAGATAGTGCGGCGGGCGTACATGCGTCATTTACCCAAACAAAGCCATTCAGTCAAACATGGCCGACGAAGAGCTATAATTCCTCTCACTGATCGGACTTATGTTAAGCATAATTCTGCGCACACAAAGACGCATAAGAGACCTGGGTGATGAAGCTCAATGGTTAAAGGAATCACGGAAGCGGTGTGAAGCGGTGTGAAGCGCTCCGTCGCGCGTCTAGGAGACGGTACCGTAGGAGGCGAGCTGCCATGGTTCGCCGCATGCTACAGGAGCGAGCTATCTAGGTGGACACAGCATCCCCCGGTCCCCTCCTCCTCCCCCTTCTCCCTCTCCAGACGACCTCACCAGTCTGAAGCAGCCACCTTGTCCGTGACAAGTCCGGTCCTGTTACTAGGGGCTTCGTCAGGTTTAATTACGGAAAAGGTTATCCGGAAAAGGTTATTGTTTGTATTCCGAAACAAAGGTCTTACGGACAGAGTCCCGAACATGTCTGTTTCTCATGGCCTGTCTGAAGGGGGCTTATGATTGGCCACAAAAGAGACAGAAGTAAGAACGACAATAAGTCTTTTGTATTTTGCCCTCTCGTTTGAATCCCTGTTGGCATCAGCACTTGTGAAGTGCATCTGCAGAGCTTGATAGTTTTCCCATACTGCTTTCACTGTTCTCTCACTTGAAGCAACCCAACGCACTGATAAAACACATCCTATCACACAAGGAGATGCTGTCCAACACTATGAGCACTCTCAGTTAATTCTCTTTGATTTTTTTGGGGATGCATGGTAGAGGGAGTACAGCTGATCTAAAATTTTTTTGAAGTGATTGATTTTCCCAACCTCCTTCAAAACATCACATACTGCCATTTCCAGTCTGTGGTTAGAACAATGCCAGAAAAACTAGTTAGGGAATTGGCAACAAAGCTGTGCAGCAACTCCTGCTTTCCTCCCAAGCATCACTGATGCTCCATCACAAGCGAAGGCCAACAAATGGTCCTGTAAAAAATAAGGGTCAAAGCCATTTTTTGAAGAGATTCTAACAGTGCATCAGTCATTTCCTTTGCTGAGGTCCCCTGCAGCTCAATACAGTTCAAAAATATAGTATCTGTCTCTTTACCTGCTATAGCTGAGCGAAGGCACGCAACTAACACAGACTTTCCACTTATTGTAGTGGACTCATCAATGAGCACACACAGTTTTCTACGATTCATCACAATGTCATTTACTATTTTCTCTTTCGTTTCAGCTGCAATGTGATCCAGTATGTTTGCACACGTGTTATTTGAGTGCAA